TGGTTCCTATTCTTTCTTCAAAAATATTATTTTATAATGATATAACATATAAGTAGCTATTAGCTATATAATACCTACCATATTGTTTACTTACATAATGTATAAAATCCCGTGAGTATTTAAAAAATGTTCAAGAGAATTTAGATTCTGAGTGGAGCGAGGGATCTAGTGGTTTTACAATAGTGATTATTTATTTATTTTTTTATATCCTGTGTAAGAAATTTCTACCAGAAGGATTGCTTGGATTTCAACATATGGTATATTATATTTTAGCAAATTGGATCAAGATGGTACTTTAGGGAGATCATTTTTCGATTTTCTCAAAAATGTCAAGGGGGAAAACCACCGATAAATTACAAAAAAAACAGCTAAAAATGGGATTTTAATTTCCAAAGCTTTGTATATCACACCATAGAAACGAATAAAAAAAAAAATAAAGATTTTAGTTAATTATTTGTAATTTATAATATTAATTTAACTTACAGGCTATAATAAAATATAATAATAATACAAAATATCCTGACTGACAGTCTGCGCTCAGAATCATTGTGCGTATACAATGATATGATATCATTGAATTCAAATTTAATACAATCCATTATACAGTGACCCACTTGTAACTCAATACACAGCAGAGCGACATCCACTTACCCACTTTTTAACTTTTAATTTTATAATTCCATAATATATTATTTCAATTATAAAAATATAAGTGCACTTTACCTGTCCAAAATAGTAACGATACGTAGGTGTAAAATATATCTTTAATGAGGTGGTTTCTCGACAGATAAGTTTATCTCATATTTGTACAATAATATTAATAGTGATAAATATGATTTAAATAAGCCATCTCAATTGCCATTAATAATGAATATAATGGTTTATTTTATAAAAAATACTTATGTATTACGTATGTTCACTATTACCATTTACATCACCTCAATATAAATATCAATGTCATAAAGTTTAGAAATATAATTTTAGTAGACAGATGCAATTTATTTGTATCGTGTAAATATCGTTTGATAATAATCACAATAAATAACCAAAAAAGTTAGTAATGTCCAGTTATAAAGTTCAAATAGCAATTTTATTATAAAAATCACATGACGAAATAAATCATGCGTTATCTCTTTAACTTTATATGCCAACCTTCTTAAAATTTGTTTGAGAGAAATATATGTAGATCACCAGTATTATTTATGGAATAGCATCATCGTATTGGTAAAATTCCATAAAATGCATATGACTACCTAACTGCCTACTATCCAATCTAAACACAATTGATAAATGTACAAATAGAAAAATAATATCCTAATAGGAATTACCCTACTATTTATATAAATATTACCTTTATATTTAAGTATTATAATAGTTGTTGGAATATAATTAAAAGTATATGGTGGCTCGATGAACCATTTTCGATGAAGATTTATGTTTAATTAACAAACAGAATAAAATCTTACGAAATTGAATTTTCTTTAATAAATGGATTGACAGGACCATAGTTAAATATAATGCCAACAATATTTGTACGTACATTAAATTTAAGCCACGCAAGGATAATGTTATTTTCCAAAATCCACAACATCTGGTGTCAGGCAATAAAACGACGGATATTATTGGTTTTCACAATGTGAAAATTTCGAAATCGAACGAAATTAAATGAGTTTCTCTATACCCTGCAGATACGTTGCTCAGCCCTGAAATGTAATAATTTATTGGAGTTGACACTATATACACCATCCATTTGTTGATATTGTAGTACTTATCGAATATTAAAAAAGCTCAATTTATTAGAATGTATATCTGCAGTATATTTCGATAACCCCTTTATAAAATTTTATTAATTCTATTTTAATCTGTATAGGTCTATAAGTATATACCAGGCCAAGATGGCCAGACAATATACACATTTTCATAAATTTCTAATGATTCAATAATGACAATCACTTAACCTAACCAAATAGCCATATCTGAACGTTATATAGGTACTCAGTCACATGTTGAAATAATATAATATGGCCTGATCGTTATTAAATAATAAAGTGGGTACGTAACAAAAATTATAAGTAGGTATTTTAGTACCAGCATATTAGTAAAAATATCTTACTGGTATGCACTTAAAAATTAAAACTAATACTTTATACTGAGTTAGAAAAGTAAACATGTTTCGTATAGTGTGAAAGTTTATTGATTATTTAAAAACTATAATAATTTATAATTATTGATACTTCAAAATACTCATTTACTATTGTTTCTAATGGACATACTTGTAACACGTTATTACAATACTATAAGATTAATACAATACGATCGCGCTATGATAATTTGACATAACTATCGTTATTCTAACCACAAAACATTGGGTCAAACTTTATGTATCCGCCTCAAAAGTTTAAATTTGTGTAACCATACAATTAAAGTTTGGTATACGACTTTTGCCTGCTACCTCATCCCTACATAATGTTGCACATATACCTACCTATAGGCTATAAGCTATGATATCCATTACAAAACTTCACAAGCTATTTATTCATCCTACGCTATATATTCTTTGAAATGCTATATACCTATTACCTATTAATAATAATGAATAAATTAATGCTAAAAAAAAATCTTATTTTTAAAATTTTCTATATATATTTACAATTTAGGACACTTTATTAAGTCATAATAAATCAATCATTTGAAATAAGTAAATCGAAATTTGAAATGGATATACTTTTTAAATAAAAATATTTTTGTATTGTTATGATTAATATGAAAAATGATTTATGACTACTCCTTAAGACCTAATATCAAATAGGTAATTGATATTTTTATATAGATAAATTATAAATAAAATCTTACTTTTGAGTTTTGATTCTACCTCTTTTTTAATTTTATTCATTGTATTAATTATTACAGCTGTTTTATTTCAATTTTTTATAATGTTAGACAAAGTATAATACTTAAAGAACTAGGTATTAAAAAATGTTTAATACAAAAACAAACTTAAATCTCTTGAGATATTATTCTTACTTAAAAAACTTAAAGAATTAAAAAAATATCTTCAAATGACATTCCCTAAGGCATAAAGAGACATCGTAGCAAGGATAACATTATTTCATAAAACAAAAATATATCTATTCACACCTTCCTCATTTATATGTTATCAATACACCCAAAAAAACATCCTCTTAACCTAAGTTAACTTATATAATATATAAATACACCAACCGACATTAGATAATTTGTTAACATACCACCAACTAGGAAACATCTACTGAAGAAACTGGCATGTAAAAATTAAACAAAATATATTTTTTAAGTGAAGTAAGCTTCTTATAGTCAGATATATATAATATACGTTATTCCACGATATTTGTCTCCGTCTATAAATGTTATCTATTTTATTTTTAAATTTTATTTTTACAATTTATAAATTGAAGAGAATTTCTAAAAAGGATTTTATTGTTAAATCAAAATCTATTTTGATAAAAACTTGTGTACATATAAAAAGGCTTTATTTTTATTTTTCGATGTTTTTCGACTGCGGTTTTAAAACCATCAACTAGAAAAATCAAAAAAAACCTTTCTAATATTTTAAAAGGACCATCTCTGATAAAATGTCTAAATATTAAACTTTTAGAACATTTTTACTGCCCCATAAAGTGTTTCTAACAAATAAAAAATAATCAGAACTGTAAATTCTTTATTAAACTTAAAATAAATAAATTTGCTTTTTTGGATAACTAAGTATTATTTCTATTAACCACTAAGATAAATTAAGAAAAAAAAATCAAACCTCTCACTAGAAGTTTCTTAAGAATTTAGAAAACTAACGATTCTTTAATTTTTTTTAACATATTCGAAGGAAATATATCAATTTTTTTTCTATTATTAAAGTGTATCGATTTATGATTTTTTGCATACTAAAAAAACTATCTTCAAGACTAGGTACATCCAGTCAATAAAATATACTAAATAAAACATTCATATCACATTTCCTATCCTAAAAGAATTTGCCGTAAAACAAACATCATTGTAAACCAATACCTTCTTTTATCCACTAAAATTCTGAATAATACACGACTGACTTTCTGATAAACTACGGTTACAGTTACGTGATACTGATGTGGATCAGACTAGATTTGTATAGTGGAGAAGTTGAATTTTGATAGTGTCTACTATTTACAACACACAGTTCTAGGCAAAAATTTGTTTTATTTATTTATTCGACATATAAATGGAAAGCAGAACATACTTACAGTATTTCAACTGAGTTGGAAAATCATAGGAGAATACTTCCATTTAGAAAAAAATCAACATAATGTATTGTATTATTCAGATGACCAAAGTAATAAATAATTTAAATAATTTAATGTATAAATATAATGTCAAATATTGATGGTGAGTATAAAAAACAGTAACATAGAATAAAGTATAAGAGCTACATTTAAAATAATCCCATTAGGATTCAACTACTTTGGAGTCGAAAGTTTGGTCATTCAATTGTACTAATATAAAAGCAAAATAAAAACCCTACATACATGAACTTCAATATCCTTAAAGAAAGAAAGTATGATTTAAATTATTTAATGCAGTACAAAATATTTTTAGTTTCTAAGACAACAAGTAGTTTACTATTACGTAGAAAATGCTTTTCTGTTGACTCAAAATTATTACATTTACTAATTCAAACGGAGATCAAATAGCAGGACTAAGAGGAGAACAAAAACAAAATAATTCGTAGTCTTTGTAATGATATGATAACATTTTGTAATGATAAGATAGATAACCTAAAATGTTATGTAATAAAAAAGACAGTTTAATAACGAAACGTGTGTTGTTACAATGGCGCAGTTGGAAAAAAAACGAAAATGTGACTTGTAATTTGTATAATTCGTAGAAAAAGTAGCCTAGTTTCATGAGCAAATAGACAAAAGTGAGTTAGTGAGTATTTGTGTTAAATCGGTCAACGGGATAAGTTGTGTTTGCGTTAAACGGAAAACGCGATGGAACAGGATAAAGACTACATACTACCTTTTGAACCTTCCAATTGGGAAAAATGGAAGAGATCTATAATGATATTTATTTTGTCTCAAAATATAACTAAGGATACACAAAAGCAAGCTATCATACTGCACAGAGGTGGACAAGAGCTACAAGATATTTTTTTTGGAATACCAGAGCATGGTAATCCACCTGATGGAACAACGGTATTTCAACACACAATAAATTTGTTAGATCAGCACTTTATACCAAAGGTAAATCCAGTATTTGAAAGACATGTTTTCAGGAAAATAAGACAAGAAGTTAATGAGTCAGTCGGACAGTTTATATCAAAGCTAGGCTAAAATGCACTTTACCACGCCCCTCACGAATTTCGATTTTTTTTTTTAAAAAAGACGTGTTTTCCAACGCTGATTTCGAAACTGTTTGAATTTTTGTGCGGAAACCATTATTTTGGAAGTTATAGCCTCCCAAAGTTAACGATTTTACGTTTATACGCATGCGCGCAACACTACTAGATTACCGCGCGGAGTGCCGCTAACAAGGGATCACTGCCCATACTATACAACATAACTGCAACAAAAATGCAATTTTCTTAACCCTGTGACCCACTTGGGGAGGTGTTGCATAGCAAGTCGGGGGATATTTTCGATTTGCGGAGCGGAGCGACGGCGCCGAGGAGCGTAGCGACGAGTGCCGCTAGCACCGCATCACTGTACGATGTTTTTTTCAAATTGGTGGCTCGGTGCAACAAAAATGCAATTTTCTCAACCCTGTGACCCACTTGGGGAGGTGTTGCACAGCAAGTCGGGGGATATTTTCGATTTGCGGAGCGGAGCGACGGCGCCGAGGAGCGTAGCGACGAGTGCCGCTAGCACCACATCACTGTACGATGTTTTTTTCAAATTGGTGGCTCGGTGCAACAAAAATGCAATTTTCTCAACCCTGTGACCCACTTGGGGAGGTGTTGCACAGCAATTCGGGGGATATTTTCGATTTGCGGAGCGGAGGTATATAGGTATATAGGTATAGTAGGTACTACAATATACTCATTAGCATATCTACCTGATATAATTATCATCAAGATAATTGAATATAACAATATTTGTAATAATATACAATTTAGTTATAATGAAATAGTTATAAAATAGCGATATTGATATAAAAATAGAACGAAGACCAATTAAAATGTGCAATTTTGTTTGTTTTTTTAAATATCCCAATTACAATGCATAGCAGTTATATTATATAATATTTAATTTTTAAAATAATTATAAGGTACTTAGTACGATAAATACGATAAAATCAGTCTGCCCGAAAGTGCAATAGCGAGTAGGTCATTTTTAAGAAATTTTATTTTAATATATTTAAAAAGTTTACTGTTATTATGTCAAATTTAAATCTTTTAAAAATTTTTAAAATATTTAATTGCGAAACCTCCGGGAAAATTAATGAGGATATTATTATTCTACTCCAAGAGTGGAATTTAATTCCAAAAAGTGGAGAATACAAATGCCCTCGTGGTCATAATTTAAAACTAGTGCCACGGAATGATTCTATTGATGGCTTTGTTTGGAGGTAAGTACCTATCTGGCTATCTAGTGAGTACGTTCTAAATCGATCCTTTTTTAACCCAGGTGCCGTGAGAAATGTTCGGTTAGGAATCAAAAAGCTACTAAGTGTAACTATCAGGTATCGATGAGGAAAAATACATTTTTCGAAAAGTCACACCTTTCAATATTTAAGATAGTTGCGTTGTCTTATTTGTGCCTCCAACACACCACGCAGTCATTCATTATGAGTGAGTTAGAAATTAGCCGTCATACTATTGTTGATTGGTCAAATTTCTGTCGAGAAGTTATGTATGATGGACTAGTTGCTCATAAAGTTAAAATCGGTGGAGTGGGTGTTGAAGTGGAAATTGACGAAAGTAAATTTGGAAAGCGGAAATACCATAGGGGGCACGCAGTTGAAGGTCAGTGGGTATTTGGAGGTGTCGAGCGAGGGACCAATAAATGTTTTCTTGTCCCAGTGGAGAAAAGAGACAAAACGACATTACTCAACATTATAAAAGAGTGGATTTTACCAGGGACAACGATCATTTCTGACTGTTGGAAGGTAATTATTTAAAATTTAATAAATTTAATATTTTTTAAAATTTAATAAATTTAATATTTTTTAATACTTAAATATATTAGGCATACGACTGTTTGAATGACGAGGGATACGTGCATTTTAAGGTTAATCATAGTATTAATTTTAAAGATCCCGAAACACAGCAGCATACAAATACGATTGAAGGCCTTTGGAGACATGCCAAATTTTCGCTACCTCAATATCATAGGAAGAAAGATTTTATAGGAGGATATCTCGCTAAACACATGTTTTTAAAACAAATTAAAAATAAAAATGACGCCTTAATAGAGTTTTTCAAATTAGCTGGACATTTGTACAACGCAAATGTTCCAATTAATGTTGAGCAAAACTCAAGTGATACAGATGATAATGAAGAAACAGATGAAGAAACAGATGAAGAAACTGATGATAATATTGTTTATTAAATATTTAAGATTGTGTAAAAGTACAATATACAATAAAATAAAAAAATTGAATTTCAACTTTAAAATTATTGTCCCCGTAAAAAGAATTTAAATAGGTTATACACGCTCCGTGCGGCGGTAATGCATAGTGGTGTTGAGCGCATGCGTATAAACGTAAAATCGCAAACTTTGGAAGGCTATAACTTCCAAAATAATGGTTTCCGCACAAAAATTCAAACCGTTTCGAAATCAGCGTTGAAAAACACGTCTTTTAAAAAAAAAAAAATCGAAATTCGTGAGGGGCGTGGTAAAGTGCATTTGTTCCCAAAGCTAAGACAACAAGTAGCTAAATGTGGTTTTGCTGATGCTGACACAGAGATGTGTGATCAAATTATAGAACATTGTACATCTGACGAACTTAGACGGAAGTTACTCGAGAAAAATAACTTGAGCTTGTCAGAAATCATAGAAGAGGCCAAGCGGTTCGAGTTAGTAGTGCAACAAGCAGATACACTTGGAAAAAACGGAAAAGAAATGGTAAATAAAGTTACAAAGTATGAAAAAAAAAGCAGTATAAAATGGAAAAGTTGAAAACCAGAAGTAAGGCATGCTACAGATGCGGGAACGAAAATCACTTAAAAAATGATCCTAGTTGTCCGGCGAAAGACAAAAAATGTGGGCGTTGTGGTTTAATCGGGCATTTTAAAGCGTACTGCAGAACAAAGTTACCTGCAAATACAAAAGAGCCAGGTAAAAGATATTCACAGCAAATGTCGAGGAGTAATAAAATAAACGCAGTCGAAGAAGCAAAAAGTGACGATGAAGCTATAGTGTTCCAAATATCAAAAAAAAAAGATTTGGTGACAAATTTGGTAATATGCAAAGTTGGTGGCACAGATGTTAAATTCTTAATTGATTCAGGATCAAGTTGTAATATAGTATCAGAACAAACCTGGAAAAGAAATAAAATCAATTATGAAAAAAAAGAAAGTGAAGTATCTCAAAAGTTATATGCATACTCTAGCAAGAAACCACTTGAAGTTATAGAAAAAGTAAGAACAACCATCAAGGTGTCAGACCGTGAAGAAATAGTGGACATATTTGTGGTAAAAGGTAATAACCAATCATTACTAGGGTATGAAACTTCAGTAAAGTTGGGACTCTTAAAAATTGGATTAAATATAAATGAAATAACGTCAAAAACTTTTCAATACAAAAGTAAATACCCAAATCTGTTTAATGGGATTGGCAAGTTAAAAGGAAAACAGGTTCAACTGCACATCAACGAAGTTATCAAGCCAGTTGCACAACAACATAGAAGGATTCCAATACATTTGAGAAATCAACTAGAAAATGAACTACTAAGACTTGAAAAATTAGACATAATTGAAAAAGTGGATGGACCAACACCCTGGGTCTCTCCCATAGTCTTAGTTCCTAAAAAAAATGGAGAAGTAAGACTTTGTGTTGATATGAGAAGACCAAACGCAGCCATCGAAAGAGTGCGTCACGTGACCCCAACTATTGACGATATAATAAGTGCTGTTAATGGGTCGAAAGTATTTTCAAAATTAGATCTCAATGAAGGATACCACCAGTTAGAGTTAGAGTGTGCTTCAAGGTCTATTACTACATTTAGCACCCATGTTGGCTTAAGACGATACAAAAGACTGAACTTTGGAATTAACAGTGCGGCAGAAGTTTTCCAAGACGAAATCAGACAGGTACTTGTAAATATTCCCAATGTAATGAACGTTAGCGATGACATACTGATATATGCCAAATCTCAAGATGAACACGACAATATCTTGGAAAAAGTACTTAGTCGGTTACAGGAAAAAGGACTGACATTAAATTATGAAAAATGTTTATTCAGTGTCAAGAAGCTCACATTCTTTGGGTACCAGTTTAGTGAACAGGGCGTCGAGATAGATAAAAAAAAAATCGAAGCATTTATACAACTCAAGCCACCATCAAATGTGTCTGAGGTAAGAAGTGTACTAGGCATGATAAACTACTGTGGAAGATTTATTCCAAACCTAGCAGAGAAAACAAAACCATTAAGAAATCTAATTACAGCAAACAGAAAATGGTCATGGAGCACCACAGAACAAACAGCATTTGAAGAGTTAAAAGAAAGTATTGTAAAAAATGTAAGTAACGCTTACTATGACATACATAAACAAACTGAATTAATTGTTGACGCAGGACCAGAAGGCATTGCTGCCATTTTGGCACAATCACCGAATAAGATAATTGCTTGTGCAAGTAAGGCACTAAACCAAGTTGAAAAAAGATACTCACAGATAGAAAAGGAAATGTTAGCTGCAGTATGGGCGGTTCAACATTTCAAATTGTATTTATTGGGTTCCAATTTTATACTAAAAACAGATAACAAACCGTTAGTCTCAATCCTAAGCAGTCAAACAAAAGAGACATCTGTAAGGTTGGAACGATTCAGATTAAAGCTACAAGGATACAACTTCAAAGTAGTACATACGAAAGGTAACACGAATCCATCAGATTTCATGTCAAGACATCCAATAATTAATAATATGAAGAACAACGACTGGGATAGTGAAGTGGAAGAACATGTGAATACAATAGCAGAACTAGCAATACCAAAAACAATGACAAGAAAAGAAGTAGCAGAACATTCGAACAATGACGAGGAGATCACAAAAGCAAAAAAAGCACTATTGGAGAAAACTTTGCTAGAATCAGAATATAGACCATTCAAAGATGAGCTGGCAATTACAAGTGATGGACTATTATTAAAGCAGAACAAAATAGTAATACCCAAA